GGGGGGGTGGGGGGGGATACCGCATTCATGAGATCAGACAAACTATGCGAGCAATGCCCAAACAGGTCATGTTACAACCAAAACAAGCAGTATTTGGACCGGGTCCTCGTAGACATAATTTAAAACATCGCAAATGGGTTTCGGAAAGAAACGCAATAAAAATAGTCCAATTCTGAAGTTTTCTGAATTGTTTCATGAGGCAAGATTAATACTTAGAATTTGGGTTCGGTCGTTCCGTCTCATTGTGTTTTTGTGGTAGTCTGAATTGTTTTCAGAGTGGCGATTCTAAAGAAACACTAATTGGATACAAATGTTGAGATATTTCATACTTACAAATTAATTTGCTCCTTCAAAACATAACTGCTGTTCTTGTGGGTGTTTTACCATAATTTTATCATACCAAATAAAATGGAACAAACTAATATATCTTCATATTATTTTTTTCTTTGAAAAGGTTTTCCTACAAAATACAACTAAAACACTTTTTTTTTGTTGTTGTTGTTGGAATGGTTATGTCTTTGTGGGTAAACTTTACTTGTAATGAAAATGTTTTGCAATGCAAAACATTTACATAACACCGCCCCCGTCCCCCCGCAACCCCGCCCGCAACCCCGCTGACCCCAAAAGTCACTCTGTAGTACCCCCTCAAAAATTTGAAGGAATATCCCCTGACACCAGTTTTCCTGATTGACACAAGTGACGTCACATTTATCACATCAATCCATTTTCTGATCCACTTTATCCTCACGAGGGTTGCGGGCGTGCCGGAGCCTATCCCAGCGGTCTTCGGGCAGTAGACGGGGGAACACTCTGAACTGGTCGCCAGCCAATCGCAGAGCACGAAAAAAAGCCCCATCCAGAAGCAGGCGTTCAGAGTAGCGTTTGTTCCTACGTTGTGAAGCTTTTTTTTTCTCAAAGTTTGATGATCATTTTGATGGATATTATTATTATTATTATTATCATCATTTGTAGTAGTCGTAGCATCAGTAATAGTATTACAGAACGACAACTGAAAACTAGCTTTGCTCTATGTAACCATGTCTCCATTTGAATGTTTTAAACCACGGGTGTCAAACTCAAGGCCCGGGGGCCAGATCAGGTCCGCCACATCATTTTATGTGGCCCGCGAGAGCAAATCGTGTTTTTCAACCTCAATGATTCTCGCTTGTCACGTGTAATAAATAACGTTGAGATGATGCAATTTCGTTTGTTTTTTTTTACCCTGTTAACACTCAATCAAACAATAATTGAACAAACTGTTTTAGTTGATTTGATTGATTTCAAAACTGGCAATCCATCAATTTGTTGTGTACAAGTAATAATATCTATATAAACATTTATTTAGTTTTACTATCCTAACGACCCTCCGCGGGAAGACTTAACCCCAAAGTGGTCCGTGACAAAAATGACTTTGACACCCCTGTCTTAAACCCTTTCAAATATAAATTAAATGACATAAGGGCACAGCCCATATTCTCAAATTCGATGTTTCTGGATGAAGGGTTATTCCCACTATGGATCACGATATCACATATTTACACCTTTATCCCTTTGTGTGTCTTTAATTCAGTTGTGTCTTTTGGGTGATTTCTCTGATTGAGTTTTTGTGTAGTCCCCCCCCCCCACCCCACCACCCATGTTCTGCTTTTTACATACGGTTCGCTCTTCACCAAATATCGAACCACAAGTATGAGCGCAACGGTCTGAAAATATAAGATGCCCTGCCCAGTCAGCCGCGGGATAAACGAGCAGACATTCAGTAACAGTTTCCATGGGAGGATCTGCGCAAGGTGCTTTCACTTATACCGGTTGTTGGACTCTGCGGTCAGACTGAGGTTTGGCACGACCGCGCTTGGATATAAGATATTACGAGGTGACACAGGTGCGACAAAGCAAACAGAAACTTCAGGGAGTTGTCGTTTCATCGTGGTTCTTTCCCCGCAGAAAGGCTATGAAAACTGAAAAAGCCCTCAGACAATACATTGATATTCTTTGCGGTTTTGATTGAAAACGACCACCAAGATCCTCCGCGGTTATCGTAGCCAACTTGAATTTCCCCTCGTCTCCTGAATGGATATCGCTGTGCAAATGTGTGCGAATTCGACGTTTTTTCCGGCACTTCCTGTTTACGATCGCAATAACGCGCTTGCCATTTGCAAAAGGCCATTTTAAGGTGAGATGCGCCGCGCATCTGATCTCCGACCGTCTCAAATAATTTTCCAGATCAGGGTAGGGAGCAGTCCTGAAGTCTATCACTGAGCCCTCCCAAAAATCTTTGTAATGTTTGACATTTCCAGGGGGAAAAATACTTTGGCCTTGTAGAGTTGACAGGTGGACATGTCAGACTCTCTTTCTCGTCTATATATCATAAACATGATACAACCCTGTGGATCCTTAAAAAAAAAAAAAAAAAAAAAAAAAACTTGACACAATGGTACCATGAAGTTTGATTAATGTGTTTGTTGAAAAATATGTGCCAAAAGCAGCACGTTGGGAAGTGATTTGGACGTTGGTCTCACACTTCAGAGGTCGGGAGATCAAATCTCGGTGATTTGTGTGGCGCTTGCATGTTTGCATGTGACATCATCATAGCATGCAGTCTGTCATTATACCTCGAATGACTTCATGTCAGCCAGCATCGACGGATTACCTCCACGTGTCCTTCTGAGCAATATTACCGGAGGCGTCCGTGAAGGACTTCTCAGCAGAGAAGACTCACAAAGTAATTTTATGTCGGTTTTGTTGTTTCCGATGTTTGGAACAGTTTTACGCTGACGAAATCCTCCTTCCTCTTTTGTTTCATTGCCTTTGGCTTGATGGGATTCTTATTGTCACAGTACATTCACATTATTGTTCCAAAAGACTATGACTCTTCTCTCGCTTTTGTTTTGCCCTTGAGGCCGCTGAGCTAAGGCGCCCGCCGCTATATTTTAGCTTCCGTGCTAGCTAACGAGCCACAGATTGTTTGACTGCCATCATTGACATTCAAATTTGAGTTCCATATTCCAGCCGCAGGGACTACTAAACGTCATTGACTTAACTAATCATATACTTGTTGTTTCCAGGTTCACTCTCTATGCAGTGGACAGTCGGGGTAGTCACTCCGACTCGAGCTACGTCTCTGTACGGACGTCCTGCCCGATGGTCGACGATAGCCGAGCTGAAGGTACACACATTCTCGTTGCCGTCCATTTTTTTGTGTCTTTGTAAGCACAAAAGAAGAAAATTTGCAGACAAAAAAAAAAAAAAACTACTCTGATGATACAATTGAGCAATTATCCAATTACCTTTCCTCAAATGCCACATTGCCGGGTGGTATTGTTTTTGGCGCCAACCTGACTCAACCTCGAAAAAAATCAGAATTACAAACTGAGATTTTTAGGAACAGCCGACTCAATCTTTTTTTCTGAAGACTTCAATCCTCGACCCGTGCACATCTCCTAACTGAATCTGCCCCCCCCCCCTTGCTTTTCAAGAGATCGCAGACAAGGTGTACAACTTGTACAACGGCTACACGAGTGGCAAGGAACAGCAGCTGGCGTACAACACCTTGATGGAAATCCCTCCTCCGCTGCTTTACCGTGTCCAGCACCACTACAATTCCCTCTATGAGAAGTTTGGCGACTTTGTGTGGCGCAGCGAGGACGAGCTGGGCCCCAGGTGAGAGGATTGCGGATAGCCGAGTATGCTTCAAATAAGGCCCACCGAGACGTCTGAGTAATCGAACAGCTTCCTCGTCTAGACGTTTTTGTGACGCATTATTTCGCATCCATTTTGGGCATCCTGAAGCTATAACCGCCTCGTGCTGGCCAGGCAATTCCAGAAAAAGGTTTTCTGTTTAATTTATGGTCATGCCAAGACAGTGAAGCGAAAATTCTTCCAAATCTTCCGAATCAACACAAAGTGTGACAGTAACCGAAACGTTGTAGGCAAACTCAGCATCCATTTTGGACAAGTAGCCTACTCGGTGCATTTCTGCGGCACTGACGTAATCTAACGTCAATGTAAAACAATCCAATGACAAAAGAGTGCGAGCGGCGATGAAGCAGGCCCTTCTTTGTGCCACTCGACAACATTTCCTTCCAATAGCAGGATGGCAACTTGTCTCAGGGCCCCTGATTTTTCCACAGTCATTAAGTCGCAACGCGCGCTAAAGCTCCTGTCTATTACCGCGAACGTTGGCGCCTATTTTATAGTTATGAACTTGAAAACCATGACTTCAGAAAAAAAAAAAAAAGAACGGACTCAGTAACTTTCGACTTTTTTCTAATAGCAGGCTTGGATTTTGGCAGGTCGAAAACATGCACGATTGTCACATCAGCGTCCCGACATCAGCGACAGAACCAGAGCGCAGTACATTTTTTTTTGCTCAACCCTTTCATGCACCAATCATGACAACCCGTCACCTGATAATATGATAAACTGTCCACTGTCATAACCGCTGTCCCTGAAAGAGTTAATCCTAAATTGTTGAGGAAAAAAAAAATAGTTTTTACAATGAAGTCATCAAAATAATAATTTTACACTCCTCAGTCCATACTGGCGATGGTCTCCTGTTCGGTCGATGATGTCACACCAACAAATGGCAACATAGCGATTTCTGGGGGGATGTAAAAGCCATTCCCAGGACGACAATTCAATATTTATCACTTGCTCCAAAATGGATTGATAGTCTCGGAAATAAGTGCCATTTATATTTTCTTGAGCAAAGTTGTACATCAAGAAAACTATCGTCTAAGTAATGTCTTTGATGTAGTGTTGATGAAATTGTTTTTGGTCAGTGCAAAATCCGTTGGCCAGTATCGGGATGGTATTTTTTTGTGGACATGAAATGTGTGTGGGCACCGGTGAGGTGGTCTCGGGTGTGGTGAGGGGGTATGGGGGTGTCTTCTGGATGAGCATGCTTTGGATTATTTACTGCCTGATGTTGGCAGGCTTGGAGACTCACTGAGAGTAATTTACAAGCGTGCTCCATTGGTGCCGCTTTTTTTTTTGTTTTTGTTTTTTTCTCTCTCCCAAAGGCCAAAACAAGAATGGCCAAATGAAACGTAAGCACAATCAGCGCCCAACCAGGCACCAACAGTTCTGCGAGCTTCCCGATGTGCGTGCGGATTTATTTTCACTGCTCTATATTTAGCCGCATCATTCTCAATATCAAAACGGATTTTCTTAACTACACAAACGCAAAAGTATTGCCAGAATTCACTCTTGAATTTCTTGACTTTCTTCACATGAGGCCAAACATGAGCTGGAACCTGAAAGTCAATTCTGAGTTCCTTTTTTTTTTTTTTTTTTCAAGCTGGAACTTGAAAGTCAATTCTGAGTTCCTCTATTTTTTTTTCTCCTTCTCGTGCGTTTTGTTGCTTTCGCTGTTTGTTCAGCGTCATCAATGTTTAATTTGTCTCCAGTTCACACGCTTGTGAGACTCTCTTGATTATGTGTTTGGTATTCTGTTGTGTCAGACGCAAGAATTTTCAAGGGGGGAAATGAGAAAATGTTTCCCCCATTTTCAGCAAATAAGTGAAAAGGATGTCTGTACTGCTTTTGCTTAACTAAAGACAGATGTTGATGGTCAGCAGACGCTGCTTTTCAAAACAAATGGATTTTTTTTTTCTCCCCGCCTTCTCCGTGTGTGTTTTCCTCATTTTAGAATCCCCACTAGCTTAACAACCTTGAATTCAAACCCGACTGTAGGTGTATTCGGTCGTTTTTGTACATTGCAAGCATCTTTCCACTGTTGGGCTTTTGCGTCGTAAACAGTGGCAGGCAGCAGACCTGCAGATCCAGATTCTGTGCTTCACTGACTGACTCCGCTGGCGTGTTCGACAACATCGCTATCTGGCAATTCCACGCGCAGCTGCACGTGATCGTTTTGACCCAGGCGGGCAGGGCGACGATTTTTAACCTTTGTTGCTAACCAGAAACAAGATGAGGCCAGAGAGGGCAGATTTTTACCTCTGTCAGGTCAGAGTGACAGAGTTTTAACAAGTATTTTTGACAACTCACTTGGCAAACAACATTTTGGCATTTGAGTTGTGTTTTTTTATGACTTATTTATTTTAGGGACAAAAAGAACCTTTAGTGCATATTAGCCTAACCCTAACACCTAACCCTTAGCCCAACCTTTGACCTCTCATCCTAACCCTAACCCTCTGACCCTCACCCTCGAACCCTAACACCTCACCCTCTAACTCTAATCCTCTAACCCGAACCGGCTAACGTTAACCGCCTAACGCCCACCGCCTAACCTTAACCGGCTAACCCTTACTGCCTAACCCTAACACCTTAACCCCTAAGCCTAACCCTCTAACCCGAACACCCTAACCCTAATGCTGAACCCAAACACCCCCTTTTTTTTGGGAGAGGGGGCGGGGGGGTGTTCATGTGTTTGCTCAGAATTGAGTTTAAAGTAGCGTGCTGTTGATTTTTGACAGAAAGGCCAACCTGATCCTCCGACGGGTGGACAAGATCAGCCCATATTGTCGTTCCCTCCTGCGTAGCACGCACATCCAGAGCCGCGCTGACACCATGGCGTACATTTACTGCCGCAGCGACGACGGCCGGCTGCCCGGCGGCGGCGGCGGCGACGCACGGAGCGGCTCGTTGCACGAAGGCCGCACGGCCTGCATGGAGAAGCTCATTTCTGTCCAGCGCAATACGTACAGCAACACCAAGCTCCGGTGAGACACGAGAACGGGGGGGGACGCGCTTGCGTTTTGTGATGTCACTGACTGATGCATCAGCTGACGTCACCCAGGAGCAGGTGTCTCTGCGTAGAAATCCGCTGGATGAAAAACAACAATTGTGCGCGAGGCTTACTTTCGGCGTAAGACACACAAACGTCACGTTGGACAGCAAAGGAGGCGAAAGAGTGACGCAAGCATGTAGATATGTGATGGTGGATGGTAGAAGAGAAGCCAATCCAACAGTTGTCTCTTTCATTACGTTGAATGTAGTCGCTTTGTTCATGCTTTTACGTGACGCACTTAAAAAAGTACAAATCGAAAGATCAGTTTGCCTTTTTTTTCCCACTACAGTTTACAAAGGAGAAATGTTGAAGGCATTTGCATTGCGAATTGCTTTTACATTTTCAAAATCCAGAAAAAAATAATTGCCAATTCTTTAAAAAAAATAAATATGAAGAAGACTTTATGTCCGTGACTGTCCAAACTCGGCAATGCTATAGATTTGGCAGGTGAACGAATGAGTGAAAATCCAGAGTAGACAAAAATGCTAACTTGAAGGCCTGACAATGTATTTGCTGTTGTTGTTGTTGTTGTTGAAGTAAACTAATGCGACAGTTTGACAAAAATATAAATAAATAATGACACCAAAAAATAAATAATGACGCCAACAATACAAATGTATGCATTGCCAAATTGTACTTGTTCCTTCTTATTTTATAAAAAAAATTTTTAAACATTTATTTAATAACAAAAATGACGCCTTGTTGTTGTTGTTGTTGTTGTTTGACTACCAAAGTAGTGGCATTTACTTTTATTTTGAAAAACGTCAAGAGAGTTCAGTAAGATTCCATACAAAAACAATGCATTGCAAATTTGACTTTTTAAAACATTATTTTACTGGTTTGTTGGTTATTTTTTCCTCAGTGATTCTTTTGAAAATAATCGAACCCCATCACAAGAGCTCGAATTGCTTTTAATGTACCGTGTAGTGTATGGTTTTTTTTTTTTTTTTTGTCTCTTGTGGCAGGAAAATAGCCTGGTGATGAACATGTTTTTTATTTTATTTTTTTTACGATTTCCTACGGAAGAGCACATTACACAATTCAACCACGCAAAATACAGAAATAGATAAAAATAAAAATCCATTGAAAAAAAAAGGTCAGAGTGGATTACTCTCCACTTGTTAGGTTTTTTTTTTGCCTTTATTTCCGTTTACAGTCTGTTCATCTTATGTTTTTGAACTGTAAAATTAAATTATATTGTACACTTGTATAAAAACTGTACTGTGTGAATTTTACTGTCATTTTTTTCCGAAGAATGTGAAATATTAAAAGAAAAATGTATATACCTACCCATGTATATATAGTTCTGATTGAGCCATGTGTCTATACATCCAAAATAAGCCAACATATTAGTGTAGGGCTTGTCAAAATGTGATCCGCGGTCCACTGCTGGACCCCTATCAAGCTAACGGTCAAATTTCGGATCGGTTCGCTTTCGCTATTCAATCTTACAATCGTGAGGCCAACGCAAACGTGTTGCAAACGGGAGCACCTAGCTTAACTTGTGCCACGGATAGCCTAGCCCGCTTAGCAAAGCATAACATTAGTGTTTTGGTGAACGAGTTAACAGTTGCATGACGTTATTTTTAGAGATAGCCAACTCAGTCCAGAATATCGTCCATGCGCCTCTAGCCGAGTTGTTAGCCCCATGAAAGAAAAAAAAAAAAAAAATTCGTACAACTCCACACTAAATGGTTCTCAGTCGATGAATTCATTTTCAGCACGTACAAGTATCTTGAAACATATTGAATGTATTTTCGAAACAGCACCAACATGACTTTACGAGGTCTTTAAAAACAAAGCACAGATTGCTGGAAGAGGAAGAAAGCGGGTCGCGATGCTGGATGGTCTCTTGTCATTGTTATGACAGGTGGTTGATACATTTGTTAAGCGCTGTACGTTCTAATGAAATTCAGCACAAATCGTCCTTTTCGACATAATCGCGCGCCTTTCCAGCCCCTTATTTGAAACTCAAGCCGTCAATCCTCGAAGCTTCCCCGGCCCCCGTTTTGCGGCGCGTTGCCCTCCTATCAGGAGAAACTGAAGAAGTGCTTGTTGATACTTGGCCTCCCAAAAAAGTACTAACACATGTTGGAACACCCACATCCAGAACCACTTGCGTTCACGACTTCAAAACCAATGCGCTGGAGCACATATTTCTCCAATGACACCGAAGGACGACTGAAAATATGCAATTGTAATGTCTGTCAGATTCCATTGCCGCTAGTTGATGCATTTATTATGTTTTGTTTCTTTTGCCTTTTCAAAGCATTGGGTGAGCAATCATATTGAACCGTTTCGGTTACAGCGGTTACCACAGTGGACATCTTATCATGTTATTGTTATTGGTGCATGGAAGGGTTAAAAGAGGTCCGGGAGGCAACAGAAAATACCGTGGCAGTTTAGCCTTCAATGCATCAATCAAACACAAATGTTTTGGGAGGAAGCCCGCGCACCTGGAGAAAATCCATACAGTGGTACCTCGACCTACGAACGTCTCTTCAAACAAAATTTTCAACTTACTGCCTCAACCAGAAAATATTGCCTCTTGTTACGAAAGAAATTTCAAGATACAAAAGGTGAAAATACAGTATGGGCTGATACTTGCACCTCCTATTTTCCTGAACGCAACATACTTATAGCTGCTCTGCCATTGGCTATTACCGAGCATCATCCTGGCATCCTATTGGCTAAGAGGGACCTCTACCGTATCTGTCGATGTATGTAGATAGATAGATATGTGTCTATGTGGCGTCCTCGTCATTTGCCCCTAAAGCCATGAAGTGTTTCGATAGTTTTACGTAAATGTGAATCACTCAGAAAAAGTGTTCACCAGTCGGGCAATCGCTCACTCTGCTGATGTTTGCCTTGGACATTTTCGAAAGATTGTTAAAAGCTGACAAAAGCCAACGTCCTTGGATCAGTTCTTTACAAAACACCAGGCAAAAAAACACTTCTGAGAGCGAACCTGCACTAAAGAGGTACAAAAAAGTACACAGAAGTTAAATGACCGTCACTTTCTTTATTCTTTGTTTTTTTTTTTTACATTATACACAACTCTCATTTATTGCGCAATAATCTAATTGTAACATGTATTTGTTACATATTTTGATGAGCGAATTACATTTGCCGACACATAGCAGTAAGGCCAGTGTGTCATTCGCATCATCAACATTTATGGTTTTGGTTGATCCAGGTAAGATTTACAACCATGACCAACCGGCACAGACTTTTGTCCGAAAGGTTTGCCTTGTCAACAAGATGCTTCTTTTAAACGCGTCGGTGACATGTTTGGAGTTCAATGAACGGGACTGCCGTTGTCGATCAGCTGACGCGTATGAAGAAGATGATTTGCAAACGCTTCCGTGGTGTTATTTCTCGGCAGTTAGCCCAATCTATAGGGCAAATATTTGCATTCGCTCCTGAACTAACACACCACTTGGACTCTCTAATTGATATCATTAAGCAAAAAGGTGGCGATGCCTTCCTGTGTTGCGTGAGCTGCCGGGAAAGCACTTTCGTTTTCCAGTTCCCCTCCGTAAAACTATTCCTTTCAGCTCCCCATCTCGTTTCTTTCCAGTCATGCAACATTAAGGGCCACTTTTAAAAATCAGTAGCCTGATGTTCATTCTCACGGAATTAGGCGGCGGTCGTCAAGAGGCGCGCCAGCAACAACACTCTTATTACGGTGCCGACGTATCTGTGATATTGTCGCAACCACCCGCGAGTATTGGAATTCTGCGAGTTCAGCACTTGTCGGCCATGTTTACGCGAAGTAGTAGATTTGTGTCTGACCCTTTCAATAAATTCAATGACCTGGCATTTATACATAAGGTCCCAATGGAAGATTCTATTCATTGTTTGCGTGTTATTTAGTGGTAGTTTCTGATCCGCTTGTAAAACGATCCGGGCCGGCGATTGTAAATGAGAAACATCTTGGCAATTCATTACGTGGCAAGCCGTGATTGCGTTGTGAAATCAAACAACTGCCAATGAGCTTGCTCAAACTTGTGCCTTTTTCAACTCCAAGAGCAGGTGTTTGTGCTGAGTGTTAGCATGGCAGGTTTAGCCCGAACAAAACTACCATGTATAGTAAGGCGTTTTTAGCCGAAAAAAACGACCATATATGGCAAGTCGTTTGTAGCTGAAAAAAACGACCATGTATAGTAAGGCGTTTTTAGCTGAAAAAAAAACCATGCAGAGGAAAGTGTTTTCAGCTTAAAAAAAACAACCATGTATAGTAAGGCGTTTTTAGCTGAAAAAAAATTAAAATGCATAGTAACGCGTTTTTAGGCGAAAAAAATGACCGAAAAAAACGACAATGTATAATAAGTCGTTTTTAGTCCAAAAAAAAACTACCATGTATAGTAAGACGTTTTTAGCCGAAAAAAACGACCATGTATATAGTAAGGCATTTTTAACACAAAACAACGACCATGTATAGTAAGGCGTTTTTAGACGAAAAAAACGACCATGTTTAGTAAGGCGTTTTTAGCCGAAAAAAACGACCATGTATACAAAGGCGTTTTTAGCCGAAAAAAACGACCATGTATACAAAGGCGTTTTTAGCCGAAAAAAACGACCATGTATAGTAAGGCGTTTTTAGCCGAAAAAAACGACCATGTATAGTAAGGCGTTTTTAGCCGAAAAAAACGACCATGTATAGTAAGGCGTTTTTAGCCGAAAAAAACGACCATGTATAGTAAGGCGTTTTTAGCCGAAAAAAACGACCATGTATAGTAAGGCGTTTTTAGCGAAAAAAAACCACCATGTATACTAAGGCGTTTTTAGCCGAAAAAAACGACCATGTATAGTAAGGCGTTTTTGGCCGAAAAAAAATGACCATGTTTAGGAAGGCGTTTTTGGCGGTAAATAACGACCATGTATAGTAAGGCGTTTTCAGCCAAAAAAAACGACCATGTATACCAAGTCGTTTGTAGCCAAAAAAAAGAGCCATGTATAGTAAGGCGTTTTTAGCCGAAAAAA